TAAAGGTTCTTCAATGAACCACTGAAAGAAATGGTTCTTCAAAGAACCATTGTTTGAAAGGTTCTTTGTGGCACCAAAAAAGGTTCTTCTATGGCATCAGTCTAAAGAGCCACTTTTGGTTCCAGTTGGCACCTTTATTTTTCTGAGTGTGGGGGCGAACGTCTGGCAGCTGGGTCTTAGTCCACGGGGCCCGCCCAGACACAGTCCAATAAATGGACATTAGCCCAGACTCCTGTAGGCCCATCACCAGCAGGAAGCACTCTAGGGGTCGGGTGCAGTGTGTGCTGGGCAGCTGCCAGGGGATTCTCACAAACCATCAGGCGACTCAGGTTGGTTGACACACCTCTACAATGTTGCATGTAGATCAGGGTGGAACCTCTTGACCGGGGTGGTGTTTTCCATCTTCAAGAAGCGGGGACCCGAGAGCATGCTCCAACTATAGGGGGGAATCACACTGCTCGGCCAGAGTTCGTCCAATAGTCGAATGTTGGATACCGGAGGAACAATGTGGTTTTCATCCTGGTCGTGGAACGCTGGCCCTGCTCTTCACGCTCTTGAGGATACTTGAGGGTGCATGGGAGTTTGCCCAGCCAGTCTACACGTGTTTCGTGTACTTGGAAAAGGAATTCAACTGTGTCCCTCTGAGTGTTCTGTGGGAGGTTCTTCGAGAGTATTCGGGTGTCTGGCACACTGATGGGGGCCATTTGATCCTTATACAACTTTTGCAAGAGCTTGGTCCGCATAGCCGGTAATAGGTCATACTCATTTCCAGTGGGGTTTGGACTCTGCCAAATCTGTTCTTTGTCACTGATTCAGATTATTTGTACAGAATTTCAAGGAATAGCCAGGTGGTGGGAGGTTTCCACTGGGACTGCCTGAGAATTTCATCTCTGCTTTTCGCAGATAATATGGTTCTGTTGGCTTTATCAGGTGGTGGCCTCCAGTTCACACCGGAGCAATTCTCACGCCAGTGTAAAGCAGCGGGAATGACAATCAGCACCTCCAAATCTGAGGCCATGGTCTTCAGCAGAAAAAAGGGTGAAGTGCCCACTCCAGGTCAGGGACCTGGAATCTCCTCCTCAAGTGGAGGAGTTTAAGTATCTCTGGGTTTTCTTCACAAGTAAGGGAAGAAGATGGATTGGTGCAGCGTCTGCAGTGATACGGACGCTGTACAGGTCTGTCTATAAACTGTTGTCGAACAGATCCTGACTCAAGAGTCTGGATCACTGTATCACAGGACAGAATCTTGTTTTGATTTCTTTTGAAGGAATAACTGGACTATAAGAAATTTCAGAGTCATTATTTTGAATATGAATCTGTCACGACGGAGCAGGATAGACTCACGCACAGACTGCGAATCACAATAAACAGTTCCTTATTAACACAACTCCAAGTGCACCATATACAAGTGGGGAAAAGGGGGTCCAGGGATCCCAGGGGTCCACTGCTGGTCCGCTCACCCCACATGGAAATCCTCCTCCTTCTACATGCCACACTTAAACTGCCACACTCACGTACAGGTTCTGGGAAACAGGGTCTCAAGACGGGGGCAAGGAGAATCTATATACAGGGTCAAGGTATTTAATACTAAGAAAACATGAATAGAACTCGAAATGTTGGAAAGGCCAGAATTACACTAAGGAGTGTTACACAATAGTCCAGCGACGAAGGTCTCATAGCCACTGCCTTAAGAAGTGGCAGACAGACAGGTTGATGAATCACAGGTGAGTCATTACTTGCAGGTGTGAGGACCGAAAGCAGGAGCCCATGATGAACTCCACCCAGGCAAACCGTTGCGAGCAGGGAGGAGAGAGAGCGAGAGAAACCAGAACAAACACATGTAGCCTGACTGGGCCGACTGGGCAGACACAGGGACCATGACAGTATGCTACTCAAGCAAAATAACAGAAACAAAAGAGTTGTGTTGTCATGGTCCTCCTGGATGTCCCCTGTCCCCTCTCCCTCTGGTTTTTCTTTCTTTTTCTATCTGTCTGTGCTGTGTGGGTGCACTAACCACACCCTGTGTTTTAGAGGTGGATCTTCTGCCTACTCCAGCCAGACTGGGCACACCTGGGTACCTGAGGTGATTACCCCACCTGTTTCTGAACTTGTGATCTGCCACTCCCTACTGAGGCTTGAGGAAGACGTCCATTTGATGCCAGACTGTTAATAAAGACCTGTTAGTGAGATTGGTGTCTCAGTATGGAAATGTCTTGATGCACGCTCAATCATCCAGGTAAGGAAATCCCAAAAAGTTGATTCTGTTCATCTGGAGTATGGAAATGTTTGTCTGCTTACCTTCTGCTTCTTTCTGTGCAGATATCTAGACCTGGGGTGTGAGTAAAAAGGAGGATTAAGGATCTGTTGAACTGGTGGAGTGTCGTAACTGAGGAGTTATGGATCAGACGGCTTGAAGGTTCTGCTATCGCTGGCAACTTGATGTTCTAATTGTAAAAAGACAAAAACACACTGAACTTGGATTCTGAGTCTGTGTTTTCGGTCAGAAAACCTCAAACATGACAGGTATAGTACATGTACATGTTAAAACAGGAGTTTGCAGTGTAACTAATCAACTAAGTGTTTTATAATACATGTTAGTGAACTCGTAGTCAAGTTCCTAAACTTTAAAAAAAAAGGTTTTGTTTTTTATTGTGATAAACTTCTTCAAATTTAAAATTGTATTCAATCTTGGTTATTGTTATTGTGTCCACTTGTAAATAACATTTACGTTGTGCAAGTCTTACTTATATTTCACTTTTTCTTTGTTATGCCACCTTTTGTGTTGAACTGAATTTGGGTTTTAGCCCTTGTTGTTTATTTTTCTTGTCCAGGAGCTTCTAAATTATTCATTTTTGTCTTGAGACTTCTTTAAAGCTCTTATAATTATGCACCCTGCAAGCTTCTCCTTTTACTACATTTCCGTTAACATTTGAACACTACTCAACAATTCTGTTTCTACTTGCTCTTGCTGGACTGGTTTGACAAGGTGTTAGAACTCAAAGGGCATAAGTAGCGTTTCTAATGCTGTTTGAATCTAACGTACTACTTTTGCAACTATCCCACTCAGATAAGTTTCCTTAGAAGTGCAGTATGCAGATGATCTGATGGATCCAAAAATGAATAACTCCAGTAAGTCCTATTATTTTCTTTTTCATATTTATTGTTTGTTTTGTTTTTTTGAGGACTTTTAATAATAAAATGAATAATTAAAATAATCTTCAACCTGAGTGCTAATTTAGTTTTTTCTTTTCGCTCTTAGGTGCATCCTCTAACAAGAAAAGGTAATCCCATGTTTACATCGTGCTTTCATTCCCTTAAACACATTTCTCATGTACTGATGAAGCTCATGATCTGAGTTGTTATGAAATTGAACACATTAAACTCCAAAAAAAAAGAAAATTTATGGTTTTAATTTAAGTGGTGTACAAAGAGTCATCCTAAGGATGGTCAAAAGTAGATGAAAATTAAGGACTTAGATTAAAGATTTGAAAGTGGTTCTTTTGAGGCTACATTAGTCAAGTCTGGTTTTACTGGTTTCCCATATGCTAGCTCAATCCAAACAAGTGATGACTGAACCTACATGTTCCTAAAAAATATATATCTATATAACAATGCTTTGTATGTATATTTATCATATAAGGGTTTCAGTCTTCATGCTCCAAGCTTGTGTCCTCTACCAGAGGCCTGGGAGCTTGAGGGTCCTGTTCCTTCTTCCTGATGTTGCTGTCATTCGGTATCACTACAGTTATCATTACAGCCGTCTGCTTCTGGTTGTCTACCACCACTATGTCCGGTTGGTTAGCCGCCACCATTTTGCCCATCTGTATCTTGAAGTCCCAAAAGATCTTTGGTCAGTTATTCTGCACCACCCTAGTAGGAGTCTCCCATGTTGATCTCAGGACTTCCAGTCCATACTCGGCCCAGATGTTCCTGTATTCTACGCCAGCCACTGGTTTGTTGGGGGTTTTGTTTGTTTGCTTTTTCATATATATGTAAATATTCATCATGAACTCATGGGGATGTGGTGAACAACACTAAAGGTCAACTTCAAGCCAATAGCGTCAGTCAGCATCAAGTGCGGGATCTACCAAGGAGAGATGCTCTGTCCCCCTGATGTTCTGCAGGGGCCTGAAGAACAATACGGGCCTCGACAAAGGCATCATTTGGACACACCCCATTTGCTTGATACAGGCCTGGGGGTTTCAATGTCAGGTGTAACATCACTAGCAATCAATAAACCTTTTCAAATTACATCTGCCTGCCTCTGAATGTGTACATGTGGGTCGTGCTCACGACTACAATGTGTTTCTCTGGCAGACATTAGCATTCTGATGCGCTTTTTTTTTTTTTTTTTTTTTTTTTTTTTTTTTTTTGTCTCTCGGCAGTCAGTCTCTGTTAGCATGATTAACCTACATTGAAGTGAGACATGTCATTGTGTTCTCTTCCTTTGATTTATTTACGCTGTAAATTTGTCCATTTTTAGATGTGAATGTGTTGCGCTCAGTCTGTTTTGTGACAGCTGCTCACAACTGCAGGTGGTCATGAGATCACAACTGTGTTAGTTAAACTACTGTACAAATCTTTCTGCTATAGATAAGCATTATTTACTGTTAACTACCTGTAGGTACTGCATGTAAACTATGACACATTACGCATAGTTTTATTTCTCTGCAGAGATCATGGGGACGGAACCGAGTCTGCCAGTTTTCCATCTATCCATAACAATCCTCAAGACTTGGACTCCATATTTGCAGTATGTGATTGTAGAAAATTTTTCACCATCGTTAAAATCATTGAAAATTTATCTGTTTTGATGATCCTTGCAGTGCTATTAAGACTAGTGTTGTCAACTCCTACAACATTGCCTGATTGTGGTTCTGTCTGTTCTGTTACAGTTACTTCAGGAGGACATTATAGCATTTGTGAAGAATGAACTGCAGATGATTCAGATTGTTTTGAGTCAAGGAAACTCTGACTATTTAGAGACTCAGAAGAAGCACGAGGAGGTGGGAGATTTTGGTGAAGAAAAGCAGATCCGGATCAGGAGAACGGCTTTTCTTAAGATCACACTGCAGTTCCTGAGGAGAATGAATCACAACGAACTAGCTGAGTCCATCCAGAGCAGTAAGACATCTTAACAATACTGAGAAACAAATGATGATAATTAAAATGACAAAGGCTATAACATCTAATTTATGCCACAGTGATCCATAATACTGTCATGGATTGCTGTGTGGTGGGCAGGAAGTGAACCTCAATGCAGGACTCATGAAAAAAGGAAATAAACTCAAAACAGGTTTAATACTGAAGTCTTTCAAAATATACATGCAAAAAACAGAACAGAGGAACAGCTAATGCCGAGATGTAGACTTAACCTATGAACTGGACACAATGTGGAAAAACTCAGAAAGTAACAGGAGAATAAACCTGAATTGGGATGCCACCAGCATCAACATAACAAAACAAAAACTAAGGCTCAGCATATCAGTGTGATTACAAGTAAGCTGAATTTATTTGCTCACTTGAGACTTCCATAAAAATCTTTATTTTCATGGAGAGAAAGAATGTAATACACAATCAAAAATCCAGAAAAAACACACACAAAGTTATACATACTAACTTTGTGGACTGTGCTGACTTTGCTTTTTTTCTGGATTTTTGGTTGATATTCTGTCTCTCTGTTAAAATGCAAACAACTACTGAGACTCTTTGGGTGTGGTCTATGGCGCCACTGCAGGAAGGCTGACACACCGGAGCTGCATCAGCTCATCACACCTCCCCTGCATTAATACCAAGACTCTTTTATGAATACATGCTGTTGGAATGCACTCACAATGTGGTTGGGTATTGTCTTGCTGAATTACGCAATGAAAAAGACATGGGTTAGATAGTAGCATTCATATAAATCTTTATGGTGCATCCCCAGATGTAAAGGTTTTACATGCCATGTGTACAAATCATGGAACAATATAAATAATGGATGTAATACAGGTCTAAAAGCTGAAGCCATTACAACTCCATTACACATGTGTACCGTATTATTCAGACCAAACAAAACAAAACAGTCCGATAAGTCAAACTTTACTCAACTTATTCTTCTTGCTTCCTCCACTTCTGTACCATTGATTCATTAATGTTGAATTCTCAGGCAGCTGTTCTATTCCGATGTAGTTGCAGTATATTAGTGACTAACCTCGTATTGTGGATGGATTATCTCAGTTGTTCTCCTGACTGAAGTTTGGTCCATTTACAGCATCCTGCCATGCGATTGCATTTGTCTCTAACCATCAGGAACCCTCACGTTAACTTTTACAGAGTGGAAAAAAGTTAGCGTTCATCCTCCAGCTTCAGTGAGTTTATGCTATGCTAACATAGCTGTGTTGCTAGCGATCACGTAGCACATCATTATATAGCAGCTAGCCCAACTTCAGTAACCCTACAAACGTCACTGCTGTTTAGTTTCCTGTCTTCATTTGCGTTGGAAGTGATAGCAGAGCTGTATGTTTGAATTTGTTTCCGTAATCTCTCAGTCAGAACATGCTATATCATATTTAGGTGGAAACTAGCGAGCTAACTTCCTGCTAACTTCTAACTCTGTTAAATGTATTAAATTCTGTTTTCATGGATGCCTGGATGTTAAACTTAATTGTTACACCTGGCAAAGAAGCAACGCTGATCATTTTATTAAGGATGAAAGAATTTAGACAGTTTTTAACTCTCAGTGATGCTGCAGTGTTCGTTTGACTTTGGGACCTGAAGTGTTGGAGTTTAGGACCCAGATTACTCCACGAGGTTCCTGACTACGATAGCCGTAATGCTCCGACAATCAATCAAGGGGTGCGGCTTCGTAGCTTAGCAAAGTCATACTAAAACATTTTTGACAGATTTCTGAGCGCCGTGTACCACATTAAATTGGTTCGAGGTCAGTAAGTATAACCAGAATTCATCATAAGTCGCACCAGATTATAAGGTGCACTGTTCATTTTTGAGAAAATTAAAGCATTTTAAATACGCCTAATAGTCCGAAAAATACAGTACTCAAATATGTATTTAAAATCACTGGATTCTGTTTTTGGATTTTACACACTGTCTAAACTCTTTTGAAAATGAGGTTGTATCACATTTGCCATTGTTACTGCAAACTCACCTTGGTGTTATTACTGGGTTTTTTATGTTTTGTTTTTGTTTGTTTTTAATTCAGAAACTAACACAATGAACTGCCAGCGGAAAGTCAAATTTAATCTGAAGAAGAAGTTTGAGGGAGTTGCTAAAGCTGGAAATCCAATGCTCCTCACAGAGCTCTACATCACAGAGGGGGGAACTGGAAAAGTCAATGATGAACATGAGATCCGACAAATTGAAGCAGTATTTAGGAAAACAGCCACAACAGAAACGACAATCAAATGTGAAGATATCTTTAAAACTTCATCTGAAAGAGATGGGCCAATCAGAACAGTGCTGACAAACGGAGTGGCAGGCATTGGGAAAACAGTCTTAACACAGAAATACACTCTTGACTGGGCTGAAGACAAAGCCAATCAGGACATTCAGTTTATATTTCCATTTACTTTCAGAGAGCTGAATGTGCTGAAAGAGAAAAAGTTCAGCTTGAAGAAACTTCTTCGTCACTTCTTTTCTGAAACAAAAGGAGAAACCTACAACTATAACAAGCCCCAAGTTGTGTTCATCTTTGACGGTCTGGATGAGTGCCGCCTTCCTCTGGACTTCGAAAAAAATAAAACTTTGACTAATGTCAGAAAGTCGACTTCACTGGATGTGCTGCTGACAAACCTCATCAGTGGTAAACTCCTTCCCTCCGCTCGCCTCTGGATAACCACACGACCTGCAGCAGCCAATCAGATCCCTCCTGAGTATGTGCACATGGTGACGGAGGTCAGGGGGTTTTCTGATCCACAGAAGGAGGAGTATTTCAGGAAGAGATTCAGAGATGAGCGACAGGCTAGCATTGTCATCAGCAATATCCAGACATCGCGAAGCCTCCACATCATGTGCCGCATCCCAGTCTTCTGCTGGATCACTGCTACAGTTCTGGAAGATGTGCTGAAAACCAGAGGGGGAGGACAGCTGCCCAAGACCCTGACTGAGATGTACATCCACTTCCTGGTGGTTCAGGCCAAAGTGAAGAAGGTCAAGTGTGATAGAGGAGCTGAGACATATCAATACTGGAGGAAGATGACAGAGTCTCTGGGAAAACTGGCTTTTGATCAGCTGCAGAAAGGAAACCTGATCTTCTATGAATCAGACCTGACAGAGTGTGGCATCGATATCAGAGCAGCCTCAGTGTACTCAGGAGTGTTCACACAGATCTTCAAAGAGGAAAGAGGACTGTATCAGGAAAAGTTGTTCTGCTTCGTCCATCTGAGCGTTCAGGAGTTTCTGGCTGCTCTTCATGTCCATCTGACCTTCATCAACTCTGGAGTCAATCTGCTTTCTGATGCACAATCTAAATCCAAGTTGTCCGAACTGTTATTTAAGGACAACGCAGCTACAAAGTTTTACCAGAGTGCTGTGGACAAAGCCTTGCAGAGCCCAAATGGACACCTAGATCTCTTCCTCCGTTTCCTCTTGGGTCTTTCACTGGAAACCAACCAGAGTCTCCTGCAAGGTTTGCCAAGGCAGCAAGACAGTTGCTCAAAACCTAAACAGAAAACAATCCAATACATCAAAAAGATGATAACAAAAGTCTCTTCACGGAGAAGCATCAATCTGTTTTACTGTCTGAGTGAACTGAATGACAGTTCTCTAGTGGAGGAAATTCAAAAATCACTGAGGTCAGGAAGACTCTCCACAAATGAACTAACACCTGCTCACTGGTCAGCACTAGTCTTCATCCTACTGTCATCTGAAGAAAATTTAGATGTGTTTGACCTAAAGAAATACTCTGCTTCAGAGGAGGCTCTTCTGAGGCTGCTGCCAGTGGTTAAAACCTCCAGCACAGCTCTGTAGGTTGATTTTTATAAATAACAATATATAGAAGCATGAAAGAAAAAAACACCATAAATTACTTCCATTTGTAATATTTGTAACTTTCTGTTTTTTCCCCCCAGACTAAGTGACTGTAAACTGACAGACAGAAGCTGCTTATTTCTGGCAAACGTTTTTAACTCCCCATTGTGTAATTTGGTTGAACTAGACCTTAGTAACAACAACCTCCAAGATTCAGGAGTGATCTCACTCTGTGCTGGACTGCAGAATCCAAACTGTCAACTGAAAACTCTCAGGTATTTGTTTATTTTATTGTAAGGAAGACTTTTATTTCAATTTCAGTTTCTTAAATAAAACCAAATTTGTTTCTTTTAACATCTAGGTTGGACCAAAACAGCCTCACAAGCGCATGCTGTCAGGATCTCTCATCAGTCCTCAGCACCCAGTCCAGTCTGAGAACTCTGTCCCTGAATTATAACAAGCTGCAGGATTCAGCAGTGAAGCTGCTTTCTGATGGCTTGTCCAGTCCACAGTGTAAACTCCAAATTCTCGGGTTAGATAAAGTGTGTGTGTGTGTGTGTGTGTGTGTGTGTGTGTGTGTGTGTGTGTGTGTGTGTGTGTGTGTGTGTGTGTGTGTGTGTGTACGCCGTCTCGTCTTCCCCAAAGATGAGCCCCACCATGGTGGTATCATCTGCAAACTTAATCACTGCGTTGTCTGAGTGGGTACTGACACAGTCATGTGTGTACAGAGTGTACAGTAGGGGACTTAGTACACAGTCTTGTGGAGAGTTGCTGTTAAGGCTGGGGAAAGATGAGGCCCCACTCTAACTCTCTGTACACGGTCTGACAGGAAGTCTCTTATCCAGCAGCAGGTAGTTGAAGGAAGTTCAATATCCAGCAGTTTTATTGTTGGTCTGTCCGGGAGTATTGTATTGAAAGCACAGCTAAAGTCAACAAGGAGCAGCCTGTTGTTCCAGGTGAGAGATGGTGGTGTGCAGCGTTGTAACAATGGCGTCTTCAGTTGATCTGTTAGCTCTGTATGCGA